ACTACTCTCTCTCTCTCTCTCTCTCTCTCTCTCTCTCTCTCTTTCTCTTTCTCTTTCTCGATTACAAGCCACGATTCACGAGCTGCATCCATTTTTCCATTGAACCGCGAAGCAACGACTACTCGATCGTGAATCAACGTAATGGATAGAGCTTCATTTTTATTTGATCCTTCTAAAAAAAACAAACCGGTTGAATATTGTAAATCGTTGGGTGCTAACCATTTACCTGGTGACCATTGCAATCGAAATGACCTTTTCGGGAATTCGTGCAAAGGTTCGATGCGCTATTTCGATGATCGATGACGAAATGACGATGATGTGATAATACGCCACGATTTTCCCATAAAGCCACAGAGTTCTTCGATACTCGTCCTAGCAGCCATCGTGTCTGATTCTATCTAATAAATCTTCTCAAAGGAATAGAAGTTGAAGCGGCTGGTGTAGTTAAATCGGTCTTGTTCTCACGATTGTTCTCTCGTGAATCTCGAGAATAAATCCTCTCTGTCGTCAGATCTGGTTTACATTAAGTTCCTGGCACGGAAGGCATGCCTCTCCATTGCCTCTCTCGTCACGTTCGATTTGATTAATCTAATCAATCATCGATTCGTGTAATATTTTTCCTTTATTAACTGAACTCGTTTAATCAACGTACCCTTTCTTCTTAAAATAGAATGTTAATCGAACGTTACTCCTAATCATTCGAGGCTTCGTAGATCAAATTTCTAAACGGATTATCAAATAGATTAATCGTGCAATTTCACCGAGATTTCAAACGATCGTTTATATAACGTGGCTCCAGAGAACCGGTAGCTCGAAGCAAACAACTTGAATGGCCATTGTTCCGTCGTAAAAACGTAATGAAACGGCTTGGCTGGGCGAAAAATATCCCCCCATGGTCGCGATCTGTGGCGAAGATCGGCCTTTAAAAAAAAGAAAATAAAAATAAAAATAAAAAAAAAAAATAAAAAGAGGGGAAAAAAGCATACGGTAATTGTCGTGTACAGATCCCGCGATAGAGCCAGCGCCGGCGAACAACTCCGTAGATAACGCAATTCTCGTGTACGACCTTCTGTGAATTATGGTCTCGCGGTTCGTTAGCTCGACCTTATTCAAATCGACCGCGCCCGCACACCTGTGTGCGCGCGGATCGATCTGCAGATCGATTTTTCCCCGCGACGATGTCGCGAAATCGGACTGTTTGTTTCACGATTGCCAGACCGTGTCGCGAGACACGTCTACCGACCTTACCCTTTGCTACGGCCAATGGTATGTCACGAGAGAGAACGAGTAAACCTAGCGTTGTACTGGCGATTTATATAGATACCCGAACGTTGAAATTTAATTCGAACAATCTTAGTTTAGAATTACGCTTAAAACGATGCAAATCACAATCCTGTGTAGATTGCAAGAAGAATTGATCGAAACGGATAACGATCGAAAATGTATTTGTTGAGTTGAATCGATCTGAATTACTTTCGACGAAAGAAGAATTCGAAGATAAAGAGTAATTTGGATTTTTACTTAATAATACTACCGTCATTCATATCGTTTCGTCGAGACCTGTGTCAGCATTTCGCATTACCTTCTTGGTACACTCTCTCTCTCTCTCTCTCTCTTTCTCTATCCTTAATCGTCGCTTCTTGTAAGTGTCAAATTTCCACGGTGAAACACAGCGGAACTGACACGCCGATAACGATCGAGAACCGATAAAACCGTAAAACGTTTTCGTGATCCGCCTGTACAATAGCAAGATCTATATAAACGTTAAATCTCCTGTTTGAGAAAGTTTTTAATTTACCTTTCCTTTTTTTTTTTTTTTAACGATGAAAATGCACGCGATCGATATTCGAAATAGGAATGGAGATTCAAAATTCACGACAGTATATACGATCTTTTTTCTTTTTTTCTTTTCTTTCATCAGTGGGAATGAAATTAGAACGTGCATCAATTATTTTACAGCTCGTTAAAATGAAACGGGTAACGAATTTAAAGCGAACTAAAAAGGTTAAGCCGTATATATAACTCGATTATAACCGTAGAAGCGTAGAAGAGTTAACAACGATGATTAAACAGTGTTTAACTAAATCGTGTGTATTATCATACGAGATCAGAATTAAAGTTACACTATACGTGTATATATGTATATATTATTATATCTATAAAAATGTACGTTACAAGCTATTGTTTATCGTCTATTTTTCTTTTTTTTTTTTTTAGTAAAAAAACAATAAAACCGTATAAAAACCGACCATGCGTACAAAAATCGTAATATTCGCGGGGATCGTCGCGCGAGACAAATCTAAACATCATATCTGAACGATCGATCGGATCGATACCTTGACTGACAACTGGATACGATCGACAGATTTCCAAAGCTTATTCTCCTTTCCTTTTTTCCCAAACAGGTTGGATTCGTTACCAATGACCGGAGTGGCCAGAATGGATCGCGCCATAACCGGTCCCGTGGGCGGTGATTTTGCCCGAGGGACCGGCGATCACCACCGATCCAGCGTGGGGACCGGATACCGCGGCGGTTCCGGAATGAGGGCCAGAAAGCACGGCGCCATGGGATGCCGGTCCTGCGAGAATCGCACCGTGAGATGCTGGACCTGCTATCACCGCCCCGTGGCCACCAACTCCCGCGTATTCGGGATATCCTGCGTAACTGTAGGCTGGACCGGCGTACCCGACACCTGCAACATCGCGTTCCTTCATAAGAAATAACGTAAATATTTGTATCTGTCATTATAAATTTCCCGGTAGAGCCTTGTTTATTGTTCTATTATCTGTTATGAATCGTATATATTATTACAATGCGTAAATGTTGCTTTGTTTCTTTTCGTAGAACGATATTTACGATTAGATTCGAAGAAACACATCGTGTTACAGATCGAAGAAATAATTTATTTAAAGTATAATTATTATTATACTTTAATAATATAGTATAAATAAAGTATAATTATTATTATTTATTATTAAAGTATAATTATTTATAATTATACTTTTTAGAATTGTTTCGAGTCTTTTAATTGCATTTAGTGGGAGTGAAGGGGTGGATAGATGATTTTCGATATTGCGAAGAAGTTATATCTATAATTTATCTCCTAGAGTAGTCTCCTAGAGTCTTTTAATTCCATTTAATAGGACTGGATAGACAGAGAAAGATGATTTTTGATATTGTGCGTGATACATTTGGGCATAGAAATTTCAAAGTCACTCACCGATTCCGCCATCGTAGGGGCCAGCGTCGTAGCCTTCAACGTGAGCAGGCCCAGCAACGGAAGCAGTGACAACGGCAGAGCCGGCAACAGCCCCGGATACGTGCACCGGTCCAGCAACCGATCCAGAGAGCTTAGCCGGTCCTATGGACGGTGCTGCCACCATGGTAGATCCAACGTGAGGACCAGCGACACTGGCTGGTCCCAAGGCTGGACCAGCGATCGCTACACCGTGAGCGTATCCACCAAGATGGCCACCGTAACCACCGCCGTGATATCCGCCCCAAATAGCATCGCGACGCTGACGGGGCGCAGCCGCGACGAAGGCGAACGAGGCTAGCAGAATCACCTGGAAATTTCGAAAATTTGTAAGTGTAAATGATTATTTTTTTGATAATTTTTTCGCGCTCGATCTTCCAACTGATCGTTTAAATCGAATATATTACACGCGACTTTGAACTCTTCAAGATTATTCACAATTTATAAATTGTGTAGAGACAAACACACAAAGTTAGGAGAGTTTATAATAAAAATAAATTTTCAGAGATCTCGAATAGAAGAGGTGAGGTATTTTTATCTATAAATTTGTAAGAGATTTACATCGATGCTTCCGGTTATTTCCGGTTCTACTTTTATCAATTTCGCGAGAAAATTCCTATCGACATTAATTTCCAATTTAAGTCGATTACTTTAAACGACGAGAATGTTGGAAACGAAGCTATCAGAGATTCAGAAAAAAAGAAAGTTGTTTACGTTTCATGGCGGAAAATTCACTATTCCGCGGGGATCACGGAATACTTACGAAGGCCTTCATCTTCCCGATCGACCGATTGCTGAGTGTGCCCACGGACGATTTGATCCGACTTTATATACCGTTCTAGGATGCCCGACCGCGCCTCCGGTTGATCCCTTCGAATCATATCCGCTGATGGTGCAGCCTCAGCCATTGTGCAAGAAGGTCAGCATCCGGCACGCCCACCCTTGGGACACGGGCCCCCTTGGCTGACCTTCAACATCGCAATTGCGAAATTCGGAAAGCGAATTTTTCACTCTTCATTCTTCATCGATGTTCCTTTCTTTTTTTCTGTATCTTATCTCTCGTGGATCTTTGGCGAATAAAGTTGTCGAAAAGTTTGCTATCAATCTGAGATTCGTTGCAATTGAAATAATTAATAAAAATTTTCTCTTCCATCGAAGAAGAAAATAATTCTTAATCTCGCTCAAATCTCTTTTTCTTTTCGATTCGTAAAATTTGTATTTTCAATGTCTAGCAATGAAACGTTAGTAAGACAGGTGTGAAAAATAGATGTGGAAAAAATTGTGTGCATCCTTCGAGGCGACGAAGTAATAAACGGACGAAGATTGATTTCGTGGATCGATCGATCGATTTACGACAAAACGTTTCCATCCCTTCGTTTAACGTTGCTGATGGAATAGATTTATCGTGTACCGGCCGTCATCGATCTCTTTTTACAGGGCGGAACTCGGTAAAGTTATGCAGAAAGGCCGTCTTTCGTCAAATGGAACTTTCGGTATTCGCCTCGAGTCCCGCTTTGTGCCGAACGGGCAAAGTTCGATCGTTTCGTTGCGCGCTATAATGGGATCGGGCGTTTCCCCTGGCTATTCATGGGAACGTTTTCGTCCCTGGTAATCTCGAAATCGTTTCGATTCGCAGCTTTCCCCACGCTCGCAAAACATTCGGTCGATTTTCATTAAACAAACACGGGGAGAAACGGAGTTAAGGAAGAAATATAATTATACAAAGTGTCCATGAAAAATCTAAGTTATAAGAAATATAATTTTAGCGGAATTTATACGGTGACGACGAATTTAGCTCCAAATATGATAAATTTCTTATCACTCGGTACATTAGAGTTTCGTTTACACGAATCTATCTGGAAGAGAATTGCAAAAATAATAAATTAATTTCCAATTAAATCATGTCGCAGAAAATGTTCATGAATAAATCATTTCGTGTAATTGATCAAAGAGTAAAATTACATGCAAATACCTTTCTCGCAATACATACTCGAGGATCGTATACGAAAGAGAAAAAATACGAGAGGAAAAACGTATTCTCCTCGGTGAAGATAAATGGCAGTGGTTGATACCGCCTTGCGTACGGAACAAAGGAATCGATTAGACGGACGTAAAAGCGGTGTAATTAGCGTAATTTTCGATTTCTCCGGCGATAAAGGGGACGAATAACAGGTAACCGAGCAGGCGTGATCTTCAACCTACGGTATAATTGGCCTGAATGTTTCCAACGTTGTTCCTCGTAATTATCGATTTATTGCGTCAATTAGTCCTTTGCACTCCCCTTTGCCTCATACCAACACCGTAAATTAAGGAATAACGAGACATTGCGAAACACCGTGTCTCATCTATCAAATCTTCGTGTCGCCTCTTCGAATTCTTCGAATAACTCTTATAATTCATCCATTGGTATAATCGATACCCTGTCTCCTCTGCTACACTAACTACACCGTTTTTCATATCTCGATGCATTGAGTTGGCAATGCCGTTTGAATTTTATTAAATGAAAATTCCATTACTTTTTCAGTAATTTCTAATACCAAGTCAATGAATATTATCGGTTAATCGTTAACAGTTAAGATTGAATGAATCTTGTATCCATCATATTTTCACATCACTCACGATACGATAAAAATTCGGTACAAAACCGTTCGTTCTCGTCTGTCGAAAAATCGTGGGTGGATAACGGCGTCATCCTCGCTATGAGGCAATCGATTGGCAACAAGTCGAGTCTGGTAACATTATGTTGGTGAGAAAGAGTCACGTTCTCAGGGATTAATACGGTTTTCCTCGCTGTATAGCGGGCGGGACGAGAGAGCGTCGAACGTGACCTTTATTGGATGGTGGCCGAGGAAAAAGATGCGATCTTCGTTGCTCCAATTATCGCGATGGCGGATCGATACACGGTTCACGTTACTCACGAATTGGTCCACGCTCCAATCCCTCCGCAGACCACGATGCTTCCGCGCACAATGAAACGCTCGATTCACGTTTCAATCCTCGATTAACAGCGTCCCATTATCGCACACGTTTCAACCGTGTGAAACTGTATCGACGCTTCTGTTTATTGTTGTAAGATCGGCTAAACTAGGCGTGCAGAGAACGTATCGATGCTAATTGTTCCCCCTCCCCCTCCTCTTTTTGTTTGTGAACGTTAAGCGATCCCTCTCGTAAGTCGAGCATTTTTAACGAAATTGAGAATTCTTCGAATTGAATTCGTTTCTGATTAATTACTCGATTATTTGAGTTACTTTTTTTTTTTTTTCTAATTCGCGGACGTATATATGCACGATCGTTTTGATATATTAACACATTCCAAGTCCATAGTTTTGTCAAATTTATTAATTTTAATATATTAAAACAAACTCAATCGCAGTTAGGTAGAAATATACGTTTCGTATATTCGTTGCAGGTATTATTTAATGCATTTTTCTCACGATAAGCGATAAATAATGAAATTTAATATTACAAAAATACCGGTTGCGCAAGCTATTGTATTCAATTTATTCTGTCACTACTGTGCAATACTCGTAAACGTAAATATAAAATTTACGTAACGCTTGGAAATTTTTAACCATGAAAATTTCGCCGTTAATTAATGCGTTATTTATACGCGAAAAATTATAATTGAAATATGTGTCTATTCTACAACTTTAATACTCTTTAATTAACGCTAAAAAATTCAATCAAAAAAAGCCTATACCCGAATATTAATGCGAATTCGTATTTTGTGTTTTAATGTAATTTATCTTCTTTTTCTTCTTCTATATGAAAATTATATCAGTCAGACGTGTATTAATTAACAAGAACAAAACGATCTGAATATTTATATCCTTGTATCACTACCGAGAATAAAGTTAAATCAGAACACGATAACGATCGCCAATACCAACTTATGGATTATCCGAAACTGTATCAATTCCAATGATATTGGCAGATCTCGATTTCCATCGCGATCCATGAAATTTGTATCCTCGGTGGATGGAAGGAATGGGATGGAACGTGATCAATGCTAATGGTGAGACTGACATTTGCAGTCATTGTCTGCAATGCCGGAGCAATGCATCGGGATTCTTATGAGAGCAGAGCAGCCTACTGTTCCGTTCCAACTTGATACGTGTCCGAATCGCTTCCAATTCAAGAGATCGTTTCGTATTAAGCGAGAGACGAAAGGTTATCGTACGAGATAATTTCTTGTTTTACCTCTGTCATAATTTCCATGGCTGGATCGTATAAATACTCTTAGAAAATTGTAGTACTCGATCTGAATAGTAAGAGCAGAAGGATAAAAAGATTTCGATGAGATAGAAATTTTTATTCTTATACATACTTTTCCTTGATTATACGATTAAGAAACAAGGATCGTTTATTATGAGCTTGTAATTGTAAAACGAATATATCTCCAAGATATCAGAATTTTCAGTTTATTCTCAACAATCGTCGAACGTTATTTCGGTCTTCCATTTCAAATCCTGTATTACGAATTAAAAAATCGAAGGAGATGTATATGCATGAATCTAAGCTACAACTAGAGCTTTTATTTTTTCATCTTAATCATCACTGACTCAACGACCTTGGCCGCAAAACCCGAGTGCAAGCAGATTCTTCTTCTGGGAACTCGTGTAAGAATCGCACACCCCCGAGAGTGAAAGGACCACGCCTGATCGTGCTATACCTTTTACATCTTTTATCCCGTTGGCGGGAATTACGAAACGATCCAACCGTATGATTCTCTGTAATTTGAACGATGAAACTGCAAGATGAATTTCACATTCACCACCAAGTCCTATTTCATAATTTCTTCTGAGAATAAACCAAATATATTTGCCGATTTATCGATTGGTCCTGGCAGATTTGGAGATTTATTACCACGATGAAACTCGGCGATTCGATTCTGATTTCGACTCTCTCTCTCTCTCTCTTCTCTCTCTCTCTGTGAAAGAAAGATTCTTAATGGGCGATTCATTAAATAAGGATCTTGGGTTTAATGAAGAAGCGGAGGCAAAGTTTATTGAATACTTTGAATAAATAATCTTGACTCGTTTGGAAGAAGATGAAAAAGTTGCTTTATCAATTTCATTTTGCAATCGCTTCATACTCTTGTTTTAATAAATACTCGAACGTTTTATTTTGTTCTTGTTGATGTTGCAAAAAAAATTATGATACTTTTATATATACTTCTAATATGTTGAATATAAATTAATTTGGAAATAATTTAATTCGAGTATTTAAACTCGAAAACAATTTGTTTCGATGTGACAAATTTATTTCCGAAACTTGATAAATAATATATTATTTGATGATACAAATTCAAAAGATATATTCAAAGTATATATTCTCTCTAATCCTTCATTATTGCAATTATGTATAAAAAGGTTGAAGGCAATTTAGAAATATCACTTTACTAAAATTTCTTCAAAATCATCAAATAAAAAAATTACATCTACTTGACAATATTAATAATGAAAATAATATCTGTCTCATATCATCTGTCTCTCTAATACAAATTTGTTTAAAATATAATATAACGCAGACAATGTCGGTTTCTGAAATCTGGAAACTGAAATCTCTGACGGAGATTCATTACCGTGTGTACTATGAACCGTGGGCAAATACATGAATAGCGAGAAGATGCAGTAGGGGCTGTTTACAGCTTATCCAGATGCCTCATCTCTAAGGTATGATTCAACTCGAGAATTCAACTGTCACATCGCACATTCTGTGATAACAATCAACAAACTCGATTTCGATCGTTGCACCGAAGCTTGGCAATAACAATACCTTCTCTTCTCAAAAACCGAATAATATATCAATTTCAATCGAAATGTACAAGCAAACGCGTAAAATATCTTCTTCTTAAAAGTTTTATTTCCTTCTTCTTTAAACGTCCTCATGTATAAGACAGTTATGGGTCATCGACGAAAAGATATCTCTTTCCCTCGAAGAAAGACTAGAAAAACGAAGTGAAAGAAAAGATTGTAGAATATCTCCTCGCTTTTTACCTTTCGCTTTCGCCATCTTCGTCCAACAATTCCACCCTCCTAGTCCTCTGGATTCCTCTGGTCCAGAGAGGGTTTTTTAACACGCATCCGATGGCTTTTATTTTATTCACGGTCAACTGCAGACCAACCGGAGGCCTGGTATCCACCGAGGCTCGTGCCGTTTGCGAGGCTGGAAGAGATTTAAAATCCTTTTTAACCCCGGTTAAAACCGTATTTGTGGCCAAATCGACCTGAAAACTTTCGAACCACTTCACCGAAAATATGATGGGTCAGCAACGGTCGATCAGCTTGAATGCTTGATCTAGATCGACCCTTGATCTCGCCTCGAGGATCTCTAAGTTCTTTTTCATTCGCATGAACTGCTTCGAACCGGTGCACCTTCCTTATAAATTCTCTTCTCCTGGTATGTACGTACTCGTAATAATCTCGATAGAAAGTTCGATACAGATGGACGTGACTGCGAAAAAAGAAGAATTGAATTTTTTTTTTTTTCAGATGTACAGTTTCTCTGGAAGAGAAGTTTTTATTCGAGTGGAATATTTAGATTTAATGGAAATCCTTTTGTATTCGTATTAAGTATTTTATTCTTGGTGATCTATGTGACGAGAATATAAATAGGAAAAGTTCTTAACTCGAGCGAAAAATGATAAGGGTACGCACGATGTATTGTAATTTTATATTACAATAAAGAAATAAAATTTGTTAGAGTTAGATGTAGCGTAATATTCTTCTACATTGCATAGAAAGATCTTATATAGAATTTATTATATACTCGCCATTTCTGTGTAATTAAATATCTTTAATGATTATATTTTTTATGCCAGAGAAGTAAAAATCATCTGTTACTTTAAAGAAACGTTTCTAGTTAAAAATACTGGTGTCCAACAGTCGTTTCTTCCTTCATTTATTTATATCCTATACAGTGGCAAGAATATAAATAGAGAAAGTTAATAACATAAACATATTTACATACATACAAGAGACGAGTGTAAAAAGTAACACCATCTTTCTTTTTCCGGTTCAAGAAAGAGAAATATGAATTAGAAATCGTTCGAAGTGAACTACATTACATCACAATGAATATGCATTTGCATCCTTTCTCCCTTTTTAAATGCAATCTTTTCTTTCTTTCTTTTTTTTTGCATATCGAATCTTCTTGTCATTCTATCTAAAAAAAAAAAAAACCATTAACGGGATATTTTGAAAAGATACTTTTTAACATAGATTGACGACATTCGATGTATGTTAAAAAAGAAAAAAAAAGAAAAAAAGGTTTTTAATTCAAAAAAAAAAAAAACAGTACAACAAGCAAAATACATTTTGTCACTTCACTTTCGAACCATTTATCTCTTTCCTCTAACATTTTTTCCATTTAATAAACCAAAATATGAATCGATACGAATGCACGATTATATATACACGATAGTAACTAAAAAAAAAATAATGAAATTATTTAATATTTGACACTCGAATAATTACTCGAGTCATCCAATTGAATCAAAAGTAAGAATTTCTCCATTTACTTACCACTGTATCCACACACACACATATATATATATATCATTTTTCACTCGATGATATAAGAAAACGAAAAAAAAAAAGAAAAAATACCCATCTCTTTTTTTAACGTTACATCAATGTCATATTAAAACTTCCAATCCGTATAATTAAAAGTTGACCGAATTTCTAGTTAATTTTCAAAGTTTTCTTCGAACGCATTCTTCATCATTCTACATCAAACTTGACGTTAATTCGACGATCGATTTCCCGAGTCTTGTCCACCCTTTTTTCTCCTCGAAATGCACCGCTTACTCGCTGGGTGGATATTATTTTACAAAGGGAGCCTCGCCCTTTTGATGTCATCGAACGATCCTCGCATGGCCCTCGCGAGAGGGATAACCAATTCTCTCTGTAATCATCGACCAACCAATTATCGTTTGTCAACCACTCGAAAGACGATCATCGCGGCTCAAGATTACCTTTCTGACATCGATGTTAACGGGGCTTTCAATCAACCGTTTCACTTCCGGTACATCGATCCTGGTAAGATAATTCTGTTCCCAGAGTCTTCGAGATTCGCTTTCGAGATCCTCATCTTAGGTTCCCAGAAACGTTTGTTCGTCGATCAGCGATCTCCGGTTCAGCTGAAACACACACCACAGAAATTGTTAGTTGAGAGGAATATAACAGGATGATAAAGTTCTTTTTCGTTGAAAATTGTTGAATTGATTTCTTTCCAACATATCTTGATCACAATATAACAATATAACAATTTCTATAATAAAATTACGCGTAATTCAGAAGAAAAAGGAAAAATTAATTTCATATTTCTCTAACTAAGTTCCTTTTAAAGAAAAAAAAAAAAAAAAGAATAATCTCTTTGGTCAAGCAACGCAAATACCTTTCCTAATTATCGAGTATCGAAGTTCCAAGTTTTTGATTGTCGAGTCTCGACAAATCAAAGACATCAAACGAGGATTAGCGCTATAAAATTTCTTCCCTAAAGAAAAAAATTATCGATTATTCACGGTTGTCGTCGCGTTATTAAACGTCCATTACGCATCGTTGACACTGTCACCATCCTTACGTCACGTCGAAATCGTTTGTTCCGCGCGAATCAATTTAACCGCCATCAACGGCGCGCATATTTTCGTGTACACAGCTTGCCCTCTTCCCTCCTTCACTCGTCTCATCGATGATGGCGCGGCGATGATGTAAATTTCGAGGGACGTCGTCGTTAAACGGGCGTAAAACGGGCAATTTCGACTCGGACTCGAAACTTTCTAACGAGTGGACGGACGGCTTCTTGACAAATCTGCCGTTAGCAAAACCGAAGTCGTGCAACAGGCGGTCGATTCGGAATTTAAGAGTTTCGTTAGAGGCTGCTTCCTTAAACGTTTCGGTGGAAAGTGAGCGAGGGGATTCGTTTCTGTCGTGTCTGAAAATTAATTGGTATGGATTAGCGTCGTGAACAAGCGAATCAATCGAGAAATAGGAAGCACTTTGGAAATTGGATTAATCCATGCTTCATCGATTAATAATTTTACATTCGATCGTTCGACATCTGTATAATAATCGTGTATTTATTTGTACTCGACACGTTTAATTATTAATAAACGATAAATAATTGATGAACCGATCGATTCATTCCGAAGAATAGAAGTTTTGATGGAAAAGTTAAAATCGTTAAAATTCTCCAACAACAAAAATACACTGATCGATAATTCCTTTCATTTGAACGAATCAAATTATTCGTACGTTAAATTCGAGTTTACGTTAAATTTGGTGGAGAGGATGGAGACGATGAGCGTTGAGAGAGGGATGAGTCTCGATCGAGAAATAATCAAGATGATGAGTTTTAAATACTGATGCTTTATTTTATATAAAGTATTGTATAAATGTATAAACGCTATAAATATGTGGTATCTATCTATGGTGGTGGTGGGGTGCTAGTCGTGATCGCAAAGAAAGGGTATGACGAGGGCGGGCGGGGTCGGGGGCCGGCAGCGGCGCGCCATCTATTTACATTCATTCACTCACGGGAAGGGCTGACCTACCATAATCTACCGGTCTCTCTCTTTCACTAACATATAACACGATTATATAATATATGTGTAGTGTGTGTATATATACGAATACACATATAGCAATAGTGTGTGTGCGCGCGTGTGGCAATGTGTTCATATATATATATACGCGAAGGAAGTAGTAGTAATAGTATGTATACATGTATATATATATAAAGAGAAAACATATATGCGCATGGACGAGTAATGTAATAATAATATGTATGCTTGAGTGCGGCAGTGAGTATAACAACTTGTGAGACCGCGAAGCGATCGATGATCGTCGCGCGGCTCATCGGAAGAGAGAGGGGGAGAGAGAAAAGAAAAAAAAAAATAGAGTGGTAAATACGGTGTGAAGAGTACGGCGGCCTTACGCGGATGGTGGAAGACGTAAGAGAGAGAGAGAGAGGGTGGGGGGCGGAAATAAAAAATAAAAAAAATAGAGAATACTGCCGGAGCAACGGTGGGTGTTCAGAAAACAGAACAGACCCAGTTGGTCCAACGACGAAGCGCCAAAGCTTGTCCACTTGCCGGGTCCACGGACGGAGCAGCCGGGTTCAACGTGCTTGCGTTGACCTCTGGGTGGTGACTGGCGCGGTGGTATCCAGGTCTTCATGATAATGGAAAAACCGACCTGGGTTGCCGATCGTTCGACACTCGGGCTCGTCGTGTGCGCGCGTCGTGATCGCGACCAAGATGCCCGTTCGTCGCGTTTGCAAACCTCCGTGGCTGGGCCAATCACGGCTTCGCCGCGTCTTCCTCCGTCGCGATCGCGATATACATGATGAAGTATAAAGAAAATTGACTAAAATTTTTTTTCCGTGCCTCGTCTTGCGATCGAGGGGGACGAGTCGCGAGTCTCCTCGACGAGGAGGAACGAACGAGAGCCGCGGATCACGAATGGCCCGGGGCCACGGTGTGCTGCAACACTTTGCCGAGATCTGAGCCCGTGATCCGAGCCGATGGCGGGTCGTCGAAATGCAGCCGTTTCCTCGACTTTCAACACGCGCTTTCACACCGTGTCTCGATATATACCGACTTTGTGATTAGAATATTCTGACTATATACCGACTACACCACTAACGCCGGCGCTATAACCATGTTCCTAGGTTGGACCAAGCTTTGGGAAGAAGACGTTGAGCGCGTTTGAGGATCGTTTGAGACCGGTAAGTGACTGTGGTGGGTTTGCCGCCGTCGCCGAGCCGAGATCGCTGGGGCCTTAGAACGTCTAGTACTTGCCGAGTGCCCCGGGGATGATAGCTCCGTGAGAGCCGAGTCCAGCGTGGATGGCGCCAGACGGTCCGTTGATCACAGCAACACCACCGTCGTGTCCGCCAAGGCCAGCGCCGTATCCGGCGGCACCACCACCCACAACAGCGATGGCACCTGCAAATAGACGTCGTCACAAAGATCGCACCAGTCGATATCCCTCCTTTCTTCATACATGCGTTACATGTACATATATATATATATATATATATATTCATATACTCTTTTCGCAATTTTCTCGCGGAGTATTGTTCGCGGAGTGGAGGAAATACAGACCAGCACCACCGAGACCGAGAGCTGGACCAGCGAGGCCACCAGGCGCGGCAGCGGCAGCGGATCCAGAGCTTCCGTCATCACCGTTGATGTTGCCACTTCCGGCGTAGAAGGATACAACTCCCACGGATGGTCCTACCAAGTTAGCGGCACCCTGGGACGGTCCAACGAGGGTGGAGGTACCAGCGGATGCACCCACGGAGGTGAATGGGCCGGTGGCAGGTCCTACGAGACCAGCTGGGCCGGTACGTGGTCCACCTACGTTCTTGGCACCTTCTTGGGGTCCAACGCTGTCAGATGGTCCGCTCTGGGGTCCAACGTTAGCCTTGGGTCCTTCGGCCGGTCCAATGTCAGCCCTGCCTCCGATCACTCCTGCTCGACAGAACGAAAGGTATCCCGTCACCGACGAACCAACGCCTCTCTCTCTCTCTCTCTTTCGTTTAAACGGATCTTTGTTTACGCACCACCAGAGACAATCTGTTGAACACCAGCAGCTCCAGCCGCCGCCGCGGATCCAGCGGCGTAGCTGGCACCAAGAGCGGAGGATCCCAAGCTGGAGGCACCCTCTTGGAGGGATCTCGCGCTGCCGGCACCAGCTGCCAGACCACCAGAGAGACTAGCACCTCCGCCGACCAGGCCAACTCCTGCGAGGCCAACGCCTCCGTAACCGCCATGACCTCCGGCCAGAGCGTAGCCAGGTCCATGCGCGATTCCGGCGCGCGCCGTCGCCACTGCCAGACAGGCGAACACAACCTGCGGATCGAGTCGTTACGGGTCAGTCTCATCGGTGTCGTTACGTAGCCGGTCGGACAGTCGACGTTGGCTCGTGAAAGGCCAATAACGCGAAGTGAAATCGGTGGAGGAAAACGAAGACGAACTATCTATCCTTTCCGATTCCACGGAAGCGATTGCTCGACTACCGCCGCCTAATTCACCGCCTCCCATTGACTTGGCACCGATTACCACCGAGCCTCGCGTAACATAACCACGGCTTTCACTTTCGATACCCGTTGCGGATCGGCTGCGTTCCACGCCATCGAGAAACGATTCCCGCCACCTGGGGAAACGGTCGTCCCTCCAGCCTTTAAAAGCAACCGTGAAAGCAACGATGCGACCGGTTGTTGCCTTCTTTGATATCAAAGTCCGCGCGATCACCGGATGGAAGTCGAGCGTGAAATTTCGCAACGTGCTTCGGAAAACTCGAGAACGAGAATATTTCGTAATATTTTCGCAACTCCGTGGAAAGAATTCACACTTTGTATCGAGATGCTTTGGATCTCCTTTGGATCGATTGCGTGCTTCTAACGCGCGTTACTACAACAGGGGAAAATTATTTTCGAAAAATATGAAAAATTTCGTTATCTCTTACGAAAGGAAAAAGAGAAAATTGGCTCGCGTTTTATGCGATTCATAATTAATCGACGACGAATTAAGCGATAATTACGATCTTTGAGTTTGTTTTTCCCCTTGCGGCAGAAAACTCGAGGAGAAAAGAATCTTGATCTCGACGATTTCCACCTTCCTATTATATAGTGGAAACGACCGGTTCTCGGCCGGCTTACCGCGAATCGATCGCGAATCGAGGAGAAAATCGAGGTGAAACGAGCGTGGAAAGAGGTCGAACTGGCTTCGATCGATTCTTGTCTTACGAAAAGGGAATTGCTCCTCCAAGGAGGAGCGTTGTCACGCCCAGCTCTCTCGCGCTTCAAAACGAGCGCACTACCCGGTATTATGCATATCTAACTTGGCTTGAAACTTTCACATCCCGGTTTACATGGAACCCGGGCAAATCCGTGTGACGTGGCCGACCGAGCGTTCTCTCGCGACCCAACGATCGGAAAACGACCGAACGACAGACTGTGCTGTTTCGAAACGCTCCTTTGCATATACCGTTATATATTCGTTTCGTGATTTATGAAATGATCGTAGCCGTTACGTTACTTCTCTGAATTTAACACTCGAAGAGACAACACACTCGCCTGTTGGATAATACTCGGTTCGAACGAACCATTTTCCCCTCCCCCCTTTTCGTTAGAAGAATTAAAAAAAAAACGAATCGGATCGTGCTAATTTGAATCCTCCGATTTTCAGGGATCCGAAGAGGGGGGAAGAGGTACTCTGAGTGAATGAAGATGCGCCAAGAATAGAACCGGTCGTGGATTCAGCGGCTGAATGACGATGATACTATTACAACCGGTTCCGCGGTCAGTGTACCGTGTAACGAGACTTCTTGCCGCATGAATGGAGCGCGTAAGAAGGGCAAAGTCGATTCGTTGTACGTTGTACCAAGCTGGAGAGGCTCGAGGAAG